TTTGTCTACTTCATTGGCATATCTAGCAGCTCTAATACCAGTATTTCTGTTAAAGTAGTTGTCCTTCATAATAGTGATCTGGTCACGTGACTCATTTTTTTCCGAAAAATTTTTGGCACCACCATTTGCAGCAGCTCTGGCAGCGTAAGAATTTTCCGAGTTTTTTGGGTTTTCTGCATTTTTTTTGGGTTTTCAGTAGTATTTTCTTGATTTTTTTGGTTTTTTTCATAGTTTTCATTGGTTTCAGCTTCATTTGAAGCGTTTTGGGGGGTGTTTTCAGAGGTTTTATTTCCATCATTCGGTGGATTCTCCGAGACCCTATTCGGATCATCTTCTGATCCAGACATGGTAGTAAGTTGAAAGTAGGCTCTTTGGATAGCTGTTAATCTGTATTAACTGATTTGCTTGATTTTATGTACTATAATTCACTTATAATACTATTTCCTTTTTAATACTTTTGGTATTCTGGCATACTTTGGTTATTGAACAAGAGAAGGAAAGCTAAAAAATGAACAAGAAAGCTCGCGTGGCGTAATGGCAACGCGTCTGACTTCTAATCAGAAGATTCTGGGTTCGACCCCCAGCGTGAGTGCACTTCTTTTTTTGCTGCCCGTACCAATTTTTTTTAAAGGACTAGAAGTACACATCGAGGACTATTCAAGGACTATTTTCAGGTTGATTAAGTGGTTTAATTAGTTTTCCAGTTAATTTTCAGCTCATTTGATTTGTTTAGGGACTTCTGGTTCTTCTTAAAGTCCATGAAATTGTGTGACAATTACACGGCTGATTGAAAAGCCCCTCGACTCGTGGAAAAACCAACGTCGACCGTTAAACTTTAACGACTTCAGAGTTCAGACTACGACCATTCACGAATCACAAACAATTAATATATCAATGTCTTTGCGAAACTTATAAGTTTCAAGACAATAGGATAAAATACATAGCGTGTTTGATCGTGTCCTCCTGGAGCCAGTTGTACCAATGGGAGCCTCTGCATTCTAGGCTGACCTTCTTTTGGGTAGGCTCAAATTTTGTTGGCCCACAAAAGAAAAGATTACACGCTGTTGACGCGAGATATGAGAGTGAAATTACAGTAGGCCCAGAATTTCTGAGTCCTGACTCCTGCGCGCCTGGAGAGAAAGTTTTGATCCACAATTTCTTTTAAAAGTTGTATGGAGGAGGGACCATGTGAAAAAAAAAAGTACAATAAAAAAAAATTTTCGATCTTTCACGTTTTCATTAGATCTGAATCTTTTAACTAGTTGACACCGTGAGACTTTTAACTAAGAATCTCGTCTGGCTCATATCTAGTATCACTATCTAGATCCTCTTCATATTCCAATCCAATAATGGCTTCATCAGTCCAAACTTTTTCCTCAGGTGCTGATAATGGTTCAACTGCTGAAGGTTTGAAACCAACAAAATTGGGCGGTAACGTCGCTGGTTTGAAATCAACACCTAAACAAGCCCTTGATACCCATGGTAACGTCTTCAATGTTCCAGATTATACCATCAAGGATATTTTGAATGCTATTCCAAAACATTGTTATGAAAGAAGATTACTACAATCCTTATCTTATGTTTTCAGAGATATCTTGGCCATGACTATCATTGGTAACATTGGTTATAGATTAATTCCTTTAGTTGAAAATGTTTATGCTAGATTTGTTTTATGGAGTGTTTATTCTTATTTATTAGGTTTATTTGGGTTTGGTTTATGGATTTTGGCCCATGAATGTGGTCATGGTGCTTTCAGTGATTATACTTGGGTTAATGACACTATTGGTTGGGTTTTACATTCTTATTTATTAGTTCCTTATTTCTCTTGGAAATTCAGTCATTCCAAACATCATAAAGCTACTGGTCATTTAACAAGAGATATGGTTTTCATTCCATACACTAAAAAAGAATACTTGGAGGTTAAACAAAAATCAAAAATCTCTGAAGTTGCAGAAGAAACTCCAATCTATACTTTTTTCGTTTTATTGTTCCAACAATTGGGTGGTTTACATTTATATTTAACTACAAATGCCACTGGTCAACCTCATAAAGATCATTCAGCTTTAGGTAGATCCCATTTCAATCCAAAATCACCAATTTTTGATGCCAAAGATTATTGGTTCATTGTCTTGTCAGATATTGGTATGGTCTCTACTTTCACTGTTGTTTATTTATGGGCCAAATATTTCAGTGTTTGGTCTGCTTTCATCAATTGGTTTATTCCATTCTTGTGGGTTAACCATTGGTTAGTCTTTGTCACTTTCTTACAACACACTGATCCAACTATGCCACATTATGATGCTGAAGAATGGACTTTTGCTAAAGGTGCTGCTGCAACCATTGATAGAAACTTTGGTTTCGTTGGTCAACATATCTTCCACGATATCATTGAAACCCATGTTTTACATCATTACGTTTCAAGAATTCCATTTTATAACGCTAGAGAGGCTACTGATGCTATCAAGAAAGTTATGAAAGATCATTATCGTTATGACGGTGAAAACATGTGGAAAAGTTTATGGAAAGTTATGAGATCTTGTCAATTCGTTGAAGGTGACAATGGTGTTAGAATGTTCAGAAATGTCAATGGTATTGGTATCAAACCATCTGATTTAACTGAAAACTAGATTTTCTTCAATTCTTTTATTCTTGTATAAATATTAAATTATAGAGCTAGAGCTACAATTTTTAATCGGCTATTGTACAAATGTATTACTGTTCATTAACTAAGCATCAAACTTTTGATAATCCTCAGTAGTATCGGCTGACTTATGTAAACCCAACTTATTTTCACCATTGAAAACGACCCAAATCATCAAGGCATATAACGCAACACAGATACATTCTTCAATGAAAGCAATGAATGCATAATACTTCCAATCACCAAATAAATAAGTAAATTTGCTAACATTAGTGGTGTATGTTCCATCAACATTGAAAGTGAATGCATAACAAACAGCGTAAATCATTCTGACAAAAATGAATACGACCAAGATAGCACAAATTGTCAACACGCCCAATATAAATCCATACTCTTTTTCAGCTTGCCTTTTCTCTTTCATTATCTTATGGAATACCAAGGCTGCAATAAGGACCAAACATACTAGATAAATAATTGAACCAGCTTCTTGGACTGGTTTAGATGCTGCTCTATCTGAACCAACCATGCTATTACCCACAATATTTAAAATCATGGCCACGAGTGTCAATTTTTCAAGCAAATTATCCCAAGATGCTGATTTTGTATAATCTGCATGAATTAAACTCGACAAACCTTTATTCTTTTTAGTGGTCTGTTCAGGATTTCTATAAGTTTCTGCAAATCTTGTACTAAAAGCCAACAAAATAGTCAAAAAGGCTAATGAAACAGAGTTGAAAACGGAAGTAGTAATTGCAAGATTGATATTAGTATAGTTGTTTTTGTAAAGAATCAACAAAATTCCACCAATAATCTTTGTCAACATCAAGATTGCATACCTAATAAAGAATGGTCTGAAAGGTGAACGATTTTTAACCAATCTAACACCTGGATAAAAAGTTATTACTGAAATGACAACATAAAAGGCAACTTGGATAGCACCAATGATTTCCCAAGGACGTAAATTGAATTGCATTTTACTTTACTTTATGTGTACTTGACTCTTTGAGTTTGAAAATAATAAACTAACCATGAGTTTAAGAGCCAAGAATTCATGGACTTTCCTCATCTTTATATACTTTTCAGGATTGGTCCATGCTCTATGAATTGAAAAGAAAACATGGCCTGTGATGTCACGTCCAAACTCTACTTCATAGTGACAAATGTATGAACTTTTCATTATCATTGGTATGAAGTTGGTTGAAGAAAAAAAAGTGTCACGATTTCCGCTTATATCAGCGGTTATTGTGGTACACTTTTCAGATTTATAACGTAAAACCATTGATGTTCACGAGAAGCTATCCAATAAGAAGTGATTAAAAGAAAAGATAGATGGGTATCGATCCTGATTGGAATAGTGCTGCGGACGCTACTGTTCTGAGTGACTACTTAGCAAATCCTGTTGAGTTGTATTAATGACAGACGTACTGCTGCGGCTTGAAATTTTTCAATAGCCATTCATCAAACATCAAACTAACACTGAATATGAAGCACAATGGCTGCTTTGGCGAAGCTAATTCCATGACCCTGGAAGTCTATGCTACATATCTGTATAAGGGATGAGTTCATGGGTCAACATGTACAATATAATGGTGTACAGCTTGAAATATCTTGAATCTATCTATTCAAGAAATTGTGATTGACTACGTCGTCCACTTCACAACTGCTTAATATTTTAGTGACTAACTGGACATGATTAAAGTAACCACTCGCCAGCAAATTACACTGTTGCAAGATAACAAGAACAACAGATCAAATATCATTGTTTGTAATGATTGAAATTTGAGACCATATTGAAATGCATTCATATCGAGGCGGGTTTAAAGAAGAATCACGGGCTTAAAACCCAAATAGTTGAATAAGCCCCGTAACGCTTTGCCAAACGTCTTATTAATCCATCGTCTTATTGTATACAACTTGTAAGTTGATTCATACGTAATCTCAAGACACAAGACACAACAAACAACTTTCAGCTATCTTTTAGCGATTATCAATCGGTGCTGTAAGCAAATTATAACGCTGCCAAACGCCAACACCCAAACACCTATAGGGGAAGATCCACTTTAGCGCTTACCTCATCAAATTCCTAAAACTGTAAATAAAAGTCATGAAGTATATAACAACTTGTTTGTCCTGTCCTTTAATTTGAATCTCCTACCATGAAAGTCACTCAGATGTGAACTGCTTTATTTCAAATCTAAATACTGACACATATTTATTGTTCGTTAAGTCATTCTGGTATTTTACAGGTGTGAACATCAAATTCAAGAGTCTGTCAAAATGGAGCAATTGTTGTTAGATGCTGCTTTCCCTCCAATAAGTGAGTTCCCAGACCTCATAAAGGAATCATCAACGAAATCAAATAAGGCAGCTACACCCACTGGAAGATTCAATGGTGGTATTTCCAAACCAGAGAAGAAAACAAGATCAAGAGCTGGTTGCTTTAGTTGTAAAAAATTGAAGATAAAATGTAATGAAGCTAAACCAATTTGTGAATATTGCAACCATACAGGAAGAGAATGTGCTTATCCTGAGGCAAAGCCAAAAGCACCAAGAAAAAGAAGAGCAAGAAAGTCCAAAAAAGCTCAGAATGAAGAAAGTTCATCCTCTTCCTCCTCCTTATCGGATGAATCAACTGTTGAGAAAGAATTGTTCTCGGGCCTTCCCTTGATACCCATTGATACAGATTTTGTTGAAATTCAGAGTAAGCCACTACAGAGGCTCAACTCAATGAGCTTACAGCTTGAAGTTTCAAGTTTTGAATTGAAGCTTCTACGGTTTTTCCTAGATTTTGGGGCTTCATTTTTTTCATTTAATGTCCATGAGGAAACTTATAGATTTTGGTCCACAGAAGTTCCTAAACTTTGGTGTTCATCAGATTTAGTTAAATTTTCAATCTATGCAATAAGCAGTGTAAGATTGCTAGCTAATTATGAACTGAATCATATTGAAACTATAGATATTGAGGATGAAGTTGACCCTTTGTTTGGCACTGTTGAGATCAGAACTGTCAACTTGCTTCAAAAGGCACGGGAATATATACAAAATACTTCTGAGCTTGCTGAACAATTCAAGACTTTGGTACTTTCAAATGCTATCAACGAGGATCTAAGTGAAATCTTGGGTTATTTTGCAATCGCAAAATCCGTTTTGGTAGCTGCCAAAGGTGTTTTCCCAAATTCAACCAAAATTGATCACCCTCATCCTGACCCAAGTGGGTTATATAACATGTTGAGCTTTGTTAGAGGGAACTATGACGTGATTGCTTTGAATGTTTCACATCTAAAAGGAACAAAGTTTGAATGTATCCTTCTGCCAGCTGAAAAGCAAATCACCACAATTGACTCTGAATTCGTTTTCATCAAATATTTGAGGGACTATGTCGATTTTGTAATATGTGATGCGGATATTTTACAATTCAATTATTACACCGTGATATCTTCTGTTGAAATTGGGGCTCACAGATCATTGGTCTTCAAATATCCAGTTCCATTTTTCAGGGCACTTTTAGATTTTGCAGTCAATGATGTTTATTTAAATGCCTTAAATTCAAAGGAACACGTTGCAATGAAGATTATGTTCTATTTTTGTTCTCTTTGCTCTATACTTGACTTTAAGATGTTCAAAAATAGTAGTATGTGGGATGATTTTGTCGAGCTTTATAAGGTACATTCTTTTGGGTTATTTGAAGGTAAATTTGAAGATGAAATGGATGAAAATGTTTATGATTGTGTTGTTGCTAGAAGAAAGTCTGAGTTGCCTTATGATTTGCAAATATTGCGTACTTTGGGGAAGCCGCTTGCTGATTTCAAGAATGGAAAAATAGAACTGGTACCAAGTGAACCTGAGGATGTCTTTTTTTGAAAGATAAATGTTATACAAACTTTGTATAGCAAAATGAACTTTACCCGCTGAATTTGACAGATTTGATCTATTACGTAATTTCACAATGTTAACAACCCAGTTTATGAAATGTATCGATGATTCAACTAGATGGTGATGGGGAACAAAAAAATCAAGCTGATGGTGGCCTTTTATTCCTAGCCATACCGGCCATTGATTAAATAATTGGCTTTGGAAAAACGCTTTCACAAAAGCTTGAAATTGCAAATCCCAGTACACTAAGCATGAAGATTATGTTTTGTTTTTGTTCACTTTGTTCAAATTTAGACGTCCAGCTCAATTAAATTTTCAAGCTGAAGAGTAGTAGTATCTGGGATCATTCATTGAATGTATTAAGCAAGTAATGTGTAATTTCAGTTTTGAAGGCGATAGTCTTGCTATTAAAAACGTTTTTGACTGTGTTAAAGCTGCAAGATCAAAGGATCAGAATATTAGAATTCCACTGAGTAATTTCAAGATTTTTAAGCATTTAGGTGAGCCAATTGATCAATTGATTCAGCACGTTTTTGCTTGAAAAAACTACTTATATTCCCAGCAGCTTTTGATTACAAATGATAACCTTGTTAAAGGCGACGTCAATAACTTGTAACTTCTCGAATTGGGTCTTTAGTTCCGCTAAATGCCGATTTAAAAAAGGTTGAATAAGTCAGCAACAACTCACCTGCGAGTATAAAAGCAGAGAATTGGAACTTTGGTACCCTATCAAATTCAATAGCCGTATAAGCAAACTCATTTTTCGAAGTAAAGAATTAATCAAAATGCCCAACGAAACTTCACAGCTTGTTCCATGGAAGAATTTAGGTAAATCAGGATTGAAGATTTCCAATATCATCATCGGTTGTATGAGTTTTGGTTCGAAAAATTGGGAAGAATGGTTAATTGAGGACAAGGAAGAAATTTTCAAGATTTTAAAGACAGGCTACGATCATGGCATTAGAACTTATGATACAGCTGATGTTTACAGTAATGGTCTTTCTGAAAAGCTTTTGGGTGAATTTTTAAAAAAATATCAAATCAAAAGAGACAAAGTTGTTATTTTAACAAAGGTTTTCTATCCAGTTGATGATGATTATCCAGTTGGCTATCCAGGTAATGTTCTTGACAATATTGGCTCTGAAGTTGATAAGCTAAATTTCCAAAATAATAGAGGGCTATCAAGAAAACACATCTTGGATGCTGCCAAAAATTCTGTTGAGAGATTAGGCACATACATTGACGTTTACCAAATCCATAGATATGATCCTTCAACACCACAGGAGGAGACAATGAAAGCATTGAACGATTGTATTGAAGCAGGATATACAAGATACATTGGTGCTTCTTCAATGAAGGCTGTTGAATTTGCTGAATACCAACACATTGCAGATAAAAATGGATGGCAAAAGTTCATCTCAATGCAAAGTTTCTACAATTTGTTGAACAGAGAAGATGAAAGGGAGATGAACTATTATTGTGATAAAACTGGCGTTGGTTTAATTCCTTGGTCGCCATTAGCTGGTGGAACTTTAGCTAGACCTGTCCCAAAAGAGGAATCTGAATTCACCACTAGAACTCAAGTGACAAAATTTAATGCTTTGATCGGTGGAGGGTTCACTGCTGAAGACAACACGAAGATTGTTGATATTGAAATCATCAAACGAGTTGGTGAAATTGCTGGAAAGAAAAATGTGACAATGGCTGCTGTTGCAACAGCATGGGTTATTTCAAAAGGAGCTGCCCCAATTATAGGTTTTAGTTCTGAAAAAAGGGTACTTGATGCTGTTATTGGTGCAAATTTGAAGTTAACCGAAGATGAGATCAAGTACTTGGAAGAACCATACCAGCCAAGACTAAGAGCCTATTGAGAGCTTTTGTATAATTTATACCAAACAATATAAATTAATAAGACGATGCAGGATGTGCTGGTGTAGGATCTCCATAATCGACCTGACTTTGTTGGTAATTCTCTTTGATTTTGAATGCTCTTCTGCACATGGGACATAAACTCTTTGCGGTATCTGTATCCAACCATCTTAGGATACAATGCAAATGAAATCTATGAGTACATACACCGACAACTTGAAGCAATAGTTAGTCGGGGGATCTTTGGGCTCATGTAGAAAGTTTACTCACCTAATGGACATTCATCACCTGGATATTTGCAGGCTGAACAAGTTGCATCAAATGAAACACGACAGATACCACAAACTTCTTCATTTGGGACATCCCAGGACCATACTGCCACACCCTTCCAGTTCTTAATGTTCACCTTCATTTGAGCACAGCTTCCTTTGACAGTTGATGGCGTTGTTGATCTTGGACAAGTCTATAAAAAAAAGGTAAACAAAACCAAAAAGCGAATTCGCGAGAAAGTCGTGCAAATGTCAAAAACTACATATAACCAGCGATTAAACTTACAATTTTCAACTGTTTCCAGTGCCAGGTTTTTTCTATTATACAATTTTATTTCGTGATTAAAATCTATATGGTACATGTGAATTGACTTGGAATCTAAAAACCAGCAAGTTTGACCAAAAGTTGAGCACCTTTGTTATCTTCTTGACTAGCCTTTTTGACATCTTTCTTGATTTTTTTCAAGTCTTTGAAGAATTGAGCGTTCTTATCATCAATTGATTCAAAGATTGAAACAACAATAAATGAAGTATCTTTGTTTTCGATCCATTTTTCTAAACTATCACCAATAACTTCTTCATAGAACCTTGTAGCAAAATCTGATCCTATACCTGGAACATCAAGTTTGATTAGGGTTTTGGTTTTAGCATCCCATTTACCACCTTGAGTCAAAGACTTCAATAATCTGACTGAGAAAGCTTTGTTGATTGGATGTTCTTCTTCTTCGAAATCACCTTTAAAGGTTTCAATTAAAGCTGAAATAGCTTCTTCTCTTTTATCATCTGAAATTGGTGCATTATTCAAAAAAACTTCACCGATGAATTGAGACCCTATGTTTTCACTCAAAATTTCTGTAGTGTGATCAGTTATACTTTTGTAAAATGCTGGTGATATTTTGTCTAACAATTCTTTCTTTTTTTGATCATTTGGTTTTTTAGAAGTTTCTTGGGATAATTCAACGTAATGTTTCAATTCTTTTTGAACTGATGGTGAAAAAAATCTACCGTCTAAACCATTCAACAAGTAAAGGAAAGGTCTTCTGGAGTATTTGTCAACGACTAGCTCATGAAGATGCTCAGCATATTCACCAAACAAGGCTTTTGAGACTAACACTGTATCATCAACAGTTAAGAATAGAGTGATAACAACCAAGTTACCATATTCATTCTTGATCAAACTCATGGCATGTTCTTTCAATGATTTGATAATTTGTTTTCTTTCTTTAGCAGTAGCTCTAGCGAGTAAAAAGCATGCAACATCAGCACCTTCTGGGGTATGGATCAATTCAGCGAATTGTTCATGTAAAAGCTCAATTAATTCACGGGTCTCTTCATCGTTAATAATTTGGATATAATCTTTCATAGCAGCATGAAGAATTTGGAACCCAGTTGAACCTTTCTCAACAGAGGCTGTGATGGTACCTATCAAGTTCTTTGCAATAAGAGTTCTCTTTTCAACACTTTCTGATGTGATTTCTTGGATAGTTTTACCTTTACCACTTTCTTTGAAAACGGCATACTCAGCACCCCAAAATTCTCTGATCATTTGCTTCTTTTGTTCAGCACTTGAGTATAATGTGTATAAATCTTCAACCACATAAGCACCTTCTCTATGTCTCATCAATTTTCTTAACTTCCCATGCAATTCATCTAATATTAAACCTCTTGAATCTTTAGTTCCGTAGTGTAACAATTTAACTAGCAAATATTTACCATAAGAACTGGTGGCTAATTCGTAAAAATGAGACTTCAAAGCAGTTGTAACAGCTTCTCTTCTTTCTTTTGATGAATATTTCACAAGTGTTTGAACAACTCTTGAGGCATCATGTTTCAAAACAAGATCTCTAATCACATCTTTTGATAACTTCCAGATTTCATCACATAATTTTTCACGAACTTGTTTAGGAACAGGTGGATTCTTGACTCTTAAACGTTCCCATAGGGACTTGATATGTTGAACTTGAACACCTGACTTTCTCTGTAGTTTTCTCTCTTGTAAAACTTTACGTTGTTCTGCATGTTGTTCTTTGGAAGTTTGTTTAGATCCATCTTTTGGAGAGTCACCATCTGCTTCTTCTTCACCTTCATCGCCTTCATCTTCACTTGCTGATCCTAATTTGATTTCATCTTGGTCTAATTCATCTTCTGATTCATCTTTATCTAATTCGTCTTCACTTGAAACGTCTAATTCATCTTCACTTTCGCTAACTTCATCTTCTGATTCACTTTCACTTTGAACTTTAGCAGCCTTGGTGTTTGAAATTTTGCTTTTTTTAATGGCAGCTTTTGATGGCAAACCAGAACGCTTGGTACCTCTTCCTGCAACACCCATTTTCTATAATCTGGTTTATATTAGTGTTATAATTTGATTTACCTCTTCAAGTACCTTAGCCTTTATAAAAAAAAAATTATACTTGAAAAAAATTTTTTGTATTGTGCACGCAAAATCATCGCGACCGTGAATTTATGGCAGATGACATATAAATTTTAACTGATCTACAAGTTTTCATCGATGAAGTAAAAGGTGGTTTGTAAATGCTTAATGAAATGCTATATGCTTTGTGTATTATCCAAGCTAGAATACCAGCTTCTTCGGAGTTGTCCCTGTTGGAGGTCCCATCAATGAATTTTCCTTATCAAGCTCACCTCCAAGTATCTCATTTATTAACTGATCAATCAACAACACATTTGTAGGCTTGATCTTGTTAAGCTGGAATGATATTTTTTCAAAGTTTTTGTATTCAAAGTTGTTGGCACTGAGGATCTTGAGCAACTTGAATAGATTTATCTGTACCACAAGATCTGATTTGTGTTGAGAAATCTTTTGAAATATGCTATCAATTACTTCAGAATTGTTGAAAAAGCTCAATCTAATCTGATTCACTGTTAAAGAGTTACTGTATGAATTCAAAAGCTTGATCAATCTCTCCAAGTAAAGTTCTGAGTTCAAACTGTTTTCAACAAGGAACCCATTCAGTAAAAAATGATATTCATCATGAAGGAGATATTTTGCAACAGAATCATCCATACCAATTCTTTCATGTAATGCCACCAATGAGTCTAGTGCATTAGCCTGCCATACTGGATCAATCAATAGCTCCGAGAAAATGCCCAAAAGTGTTGATTTTTGTTTGGAGATGAAAGGTAACAATAGGTGGTTGAAGGGAAATTCACATAATAATGGTATGACAAATTCAGTACATGGCAGTGTGGAATTTATTAACTCTTGAAACAATGGGAAAATGTGGAGTCTTACTAGTTCTATTTGTTTCTCTTGGTTTAGATGGCAACAACTGAACATTAGAGAGCATGTGATATTCAAAATCTCAGGCATCAGGGTCTTTTGCTGTAAAATTCTATGAACAGTCTTTACCAAAAATTTAAGCAAATTGGAATTCTGCGGTACTTCATTCAAGTTTAACTTTTTCAAGAATTTCAATAGTTTTATTTGGTTGTTTGAAGAAAGCTTTTCATGAATCTTGAAAATTGAATTCAAAAAGATTGGCTTCACCAAAGACGTCTTTGAGACATGTAAATGACTAATGATTTCAACTATGGAGTCTATTGAAAAACTGTCATGTGACTTAGCTGACTCCATTAGCAAAATGGATAACCAGTCAAGTGAGTTGTTATAGTTGAACAACATAAACTGCACAGTTTCCTGAACTGAACTATTATTGCATAATGCACCCTTGATGAATTGCACGGAGAACTTTAGTAAATTGGAGCATTTTTTGTAGTCTTCCTGGAGAAGGTTAAACACAACAATCAAGCCACCTGATACTATAAAGTCACCCATATAAGTCTGATCTTTTTCAAATACAACGTCAAATAAATCAGCAACATTTGACCGAAGCGTATAACTGTAATTGTTGACTAGTAACTTAGATAATGTTGAAATTCCTCCAAAGCTGATGATTTTTGGAATCACATCAGCTTTCACTTCCAAAATACTTGAAACCAAATCAATATATGCGATAAGCAACTCATCGTCATCTTCTGCCGTTTCGATCCATTGAAGTATATGAAATATGAAGTTCTGATTCAATAAAACATCCAAGTTGAGCTCATTATCTCTGATGGCTTTCGTGATTTCATGAGCCGCATTAATTTCATAATGATTCTCCATCAAGTGATTTTTCATGTTCGTTGTAACATCCACTTTTTCATTCACTTCCATTGGTTCAAAGAGAGATGCTGATTTCGAGTTGGCTCCCACGAACTGAGATTCTTCAAGTGCTAAACTTTCAAAGTCTTCAGCTAATTCATCATCAATAATAGAGTTGATATCTTGCTCAGTGTGTTTAAAAGCATTCAAGTCTAATGGTAAAAACTTTCTTGTGTTAAATCTTTTGATTGAATTGAAATCATTTTTGAAACCACTTCTTGATGATTTAATTGTTGAAGTGATGAACGAGATTTCTTCTTTTGGTTCAGGTTTCCTACTGGATGTTGCGAGCCATGGGTGTTTCAGTAGATCTTTAGCACCAACTCTTTGACTTGGTTGTTTTTCAAAACATTTTAGTAGGAAATCTTTGCAAGCGCTTGATATAAATGTTGGTATTGGTGGGGTGTCATCTGTAACAATTGCATGAAGAGCAGCCATTTCATTCAAATGAGAGTATAAAGGTTCACCTGTTAATAATTCAACAATTGTAGCACCTAATGACCAAATATCTGAAGCTGTCGAAGTACCATCCATTGATATGATTTCTGGAGCCATCCAGTTTGGGGTTCCAGCAATTGAATACGTTTTGATCGTATTATTGGAAACTTTTGTGGAAACACCAAAATCTGTTAGTTTGATATCACCTCTACTGGTCAACAAAATATTTGCTGCTTTCACATCTCTATGCACGACACCTTGCCCATGAAGATATATTAGACCTTCTAGCACTTGTTTCATGTACTTTACAACTTTCTTTTCAGTCAAAGGTCCCTTTTTCTTGTATACATTCCTCAACGAACCTCCAGAGCAATATTCCAAGAATATCAACAATTTTTTGTCATTCTTTATAAAGCCATGATATTTGACAATGTTCTTGTGTTTCAAAATCTTGAGCAAATCAATTTCGCACATTAATTCCAGAATATCATCGTCATCCTCTATGAAAATTTCCTTAATGGCAACCTCATCTCCTGTTATCTTATTGATAGCTCTGTAGACATTAGCAAAAGCACCACGTCCAACAGTTTCTTTAAATTCATACGATGATAAGATATCCTTTGTGGAAAACAGTTTTCCTGGTTTCTTTTCAAATCTTTGAGCAGGAGTTAATGATACTTTAGCGTTTGTGATTTTTGCGTCGTGGTGTAACTTTGTTGGTGAATTAAAGGTGAATTTTGGTGGCAGTATACCTTTTCCTGAATCAACTCTTCGCCTCTGGTGTCTAGAGCCTGACTTGGTTGGTGTCTTGGGTATATTTTCCTTAGGAGTGAATTGTAGGTCTGGTTTATTTTCGAATGAAGAGTTTTCATTGATTTTGGAAATGTTGGCTTTTAGTGGAGATGACGAGCTTGATCGTGGTGGAGAAGAGGATTGAAGCCTCTTGAACTTGGGCGATTGTAGCAGTTCACTTTCTTCTATACGAGACAGTTCCTCTATATCATTCTCATCTTCCTTGAACCTGTAAAGAAAGTCATTCTTGATTTGATTTGGGTGCATCACTGTTTACTTGATGGAAAAACGAGCGGTAAGAGTTGGATCTTTTTCTGATGCTTTTCCCTTGCAACCTTCTGTCAGAAATAAGGTGGATATATCTCTTGATGCTCTTTCCTCTAGTGACCACTCTAATAAAGCCTTTTTAGCTTGTTTGTCTGAACTTTTCGATGCCGTCTGCAATGTTTATAGGCTGTTTCAGTTGATGTTTACAAAATAAAAACAAAACAACCCTCGGAGATATAACTTCACTTTCGGTCTTTTAGTAAGAGAGAGCTACAAAACTTGAAATCAGTCATTTAAACAGTCTCATGATACAAAAAATAACTAGTATACAGTAAAAGCAACAACTCAAAGGTTTTGTCTATGCTTATTCGTGCTGTTGGTTCCAACTTAATAGTGAAATATCACCCATTTTACGAGGAACAACCAAATTTATAATCAAGAAAACAATACTCAAAACAAGACAAATACCACCAGCAACAATCCATGCAATACCCAAGAATGGATTACGACCACCAATGACTGATCTTGTAGTCAGGTAGACTGATTTGTTACCGTTGAATTCAGTGACTGGCCAATGTAAACCGACAACAACTTCATAAGTACCAGCTTTTAAGACATCATCATCATTTCTTAAAGCCAATTTACTGAATGTTGATAAGCCTGGTGTTTGCATCCAGTTTTGGAATTCAGACCAGGTTGAAATATCAGGAATATTATCTTCTGTATAACCATCTGGATACATTTTAGCCCAGTTTGGTGGTGGTGCAACATCTGATGCATTATATTTAGTCTTTTTAAATCTATTCTTGTTGGTACTCCAAGCAATACCCTTGTTTGTCATTGTGTAATCATCAGATGTAGAATTAACAGCAGTTAATCCACTATAAGTGTCATTGAATAAAGAGTTTGCAATCAACCCACATGGATAATATCTTTTACCTTCACTATTTTCACTTAAAGGCTCACAATTTTGACCAACAGTGTTTTTGATAAGGTTTAATGAGGCATCTTTACCATTTAACTGGTCTTCACTATACGATTTAGCAAAACGACGATGGTTTGCATAGAAATTCTTGATTTTGTACAACAGGAAAACAGCTGGACCAATATCATTTGGGATTTGAAATTGGATATGACATAAACCTTGTTCCACTGGATCGGTTTCAGTTTCATTCAAACTATATCTCCATTTTGGAGTTATTGTAATATTGTTTTTGAAATTGAATTCATATTTTTCCCTTGGCATATCAGTGTAAGAATCTGAAGCATTTGCACAAGTTGTATAATCAATAGTTAAATCCTCAACTTTATATGCCCCGTACAGCATACCAGCACCTAAAGGAATAAATAGCACAGCTAGCAGTAGAAACAGAGGGATAACATATTTAGGCGTTATTATAGGATGTATGGCTTTTAGCTTTTGTTGTGTAAAGTTGTTTTCCTTTGGTCTTCTTGATTTTTCCTTCTTGATAACTGGAGCTTCATCCTCACTCACGGAATCGGTATCAGAATCCTGATGTTGATCCACCGTTTTTTTGTTTCTATGGAACAGGTTTCTGGATTTCAAGGCCATACTAAACTCTTTTTCAATCCTTTTAATCCAAAACTGTTAAAGCACTGGTGTTGGTATTGTTTGGATTCCTCACCAAAAGTTTCACATCAGATATTTTTGGTTTTTCGATTTTGAAACCTTACTAACCGTGGGCCTTGACACGGTGCGAAATGGCAGACTATGAGAATATTAGCGTGGGAACACATTATAGAGCCCAGTTCAACCCAGTTTTCAACTGAAGAGGATGGACTTGGAAAGGAATTTGCAATGACTCTTTATAAAGTTCCAGCCTAAAGCTTTGAGTTCACTACTCTCTTGTCAATCTACATAAATTTATGTTCGCGAATGCGTTCTGGGTATGTGAGTTAGTTTTTCGGTTCTGAGTTTTACACTGTCACGGCTCAGTGCGCGTAATTTACAGTATCGGATCTCATCTATCAAATTTTTTTTTGTTACGTCGCTGAGAAAGTTTGAAAAAACTTGAAGAAGGTGTATTGGAAAGAGCTTGATAAATTTGCATATTGTGCTAAGTATTATAGAAAATGGAACAAGCAGACGAAGCTCAAAAGAATATTGAAATATGGAAGGTCAAAAAATTGATCAAATCCCTAGAATTAGCCAAAGGTAATGGTACCTCTATGATTTCATTAATCATTCCTCCAAAATCACAAATTTCATTCTATCAAAAATTGCTTACTGATGAATATGGTACTGCTTCAAATATTAAATCAAGAGTTAACAGATTATCCGTTCTTTCTGCTATTACATCTACTCAACAAAAATTGAAATTATACAACAAAGTTCCACCAAATGGTCTAGTGTTATATTGTGGTGATGTGATAACTGATGAAGGTAAAGAAAAAAAATTAAACATTGATTTCGAACCTTTCAAACCAATCAACACAAAGTTATACTTGTGTGACAATAAATTCCACACAGAAGCATTATCTGAATTATTGGAAAGTGATGATAACTATGGTTTCATCGTTATGGATGGTAATGGTTCCTTATTTGGTTTATTGTCTGGTAACACAAGAACCGTTATTACTAAATTCACCGTTGATTTACCAAAGAAGCATGGTAGAGGTGGTCAATCTGCTTTACGTTTCGCGAGATTAAGAGATGAAAAAAGACACAATTATATTCGTAAAGTTGCTGAAGTTGCTGTTCAATGTTTTATTTCAAATGATAAAGTTAATGTTAACGGTTTAGTTCTTGCTGGTTCTGCCGATTTCAAAACTGAATTATCTAAATCTGATATGTTTGATAACAGATTACAAGCAAAGATTGTTAAAATTGTTGATATCTCTTATGGTGGTGAAAATGGTTTCAATCAAGCTATTGAATTATCTGCTGAAGCTTTAGCAAATGTTAAATTTATTCAAGAAAAGAAATTGATCACACAATATTTCGATGAAATCTCTCAAGATACAGGTAAATTCTGTTATGGTGTTTCTGATACATTAAAAGCTTTAGAGGCAGGTTCCTGTGAAACTGTTATTGTTTATGAAAACTTGGATGTTATCCGTTACACTTATAAAGATGCTGAAGGTAATGAAGTTATCGTTCATGCTTCTCCAGAACAAGAAGATCAAACATATAACATAGACAAGAACACAGGTACTGAAATGGAAATGATCTCAGAACAACCATTATTAGAATGGTTGGCTGAAAATTACAAAAACTTTGGTGCTACTTTGGAATTTATCACAGATAGATCAAGTGAAGGTGCGCAATTCGTTAGAGGTTTCGGTGGTATTGGTGCTTTACTTCGTTATGCCTTGAACTTTGAACAACTTGCTGATGAATCAGATGATGAATACTTTGATGATGAAGAAGACTTCATTTAAATGGAGGGATGATGTCAATGTTAAAAAAAAAATGTATACTAGAGTTAATATAAATTTCTATTTATACTTGTTATGCTACTAGTAAATCATGACGACTATGCTTAATTTATTTATAAATCTATTTAGTTTTTTGTTTTTTCTTTATTCTCAATTGATCTAAAGCATCAACTTTATCATGACCCATAATGTTACCATGACCGACACCTTTCACTATAGAATCAGCTAGATTGTTCAATCCACCAGTCAAGTAACTTCTTCTTAAATCTTTTCTGATAGATTGTTTTAGCAAATGTGTCAATTCATATCTCTTTTTGGAAGTCTCATCTGAGGATAAACGTTTATTTTCCTTTTTATTACGGTTTTTCTTCAAAATTTCATCCTCCTCCATATCACTAACATCAATATCCAAATCCTGTGCAGCTTGTTTCATCCAGTTATCTTCCTTACTTAATGATTTACTGGAAATTTCACTATCAGCTAGCTGTGAAGCCAAGGTTGATCTTTGTCTCAACTGACTAACAATATCAGTTTCAACAGGCAAACGTTGAACATCTTTGGTCCATTTTCTTGAGGATTTCCCCCTGTATTTGGTTTTATCATCAGCAAGCGCCTTACGCAAATTTCTCAAAGGTCCACTAGCTTCTTGTGGTGAACAAATCATAACAGAAATACCTTCTTTACCACTTCTTGCGGTTCTACCTGAACGATGAATATAAACGTCAGCACTTCTTGGAAGATGGTAATGGATAACGTGTTGAATACCTGGAATATCTAAACCTCTTGCAGCAACATCCGAAGCGATTAAAACTGTGGATTTATTTGGATCATTATTCTTTTGTGCAGCTTCTTTGAATTTCTCAATGTTGTTTAAACGCTGTTTTTGAAGCATGGATGAATGAATGGCAAATGTTGGAACTTTCAAGTTGTTTAGATATGGGACTAATCTCTTCACAGAATCAATAGCATTTGTAAACACCAATGTTGTACCTGGGTACATTAACAGAAAATAATATAAGAACAAATCACGTTCAGCTGGTAAACATTCAACCAAAGTTTCAGTGATATCACCAGCCAGTTTTTGGTTTGGATTTAAATCAATAAACTCTGGTTCAGCTTTGAATTTCAACTTTTCATTTAAAAGATTGATGATTTGTTTCTTTTCATCAACTTCTTCACCTTTTGGACGATATTGGGTGTTTGCCAATTTGGAAAATAATTCCAATGAAAAAGTAGCTGAAAACACTAATGATTGCCATTTGCCTTGTTTACTTCTATTTGTGCTCAAAACTTTCAAAATTTGTTCAAATTCATCAAAATGACCATCTTGTAACAAACGATCAGCTTCATCCAAAACCAAAATTTCCACATTTGCAGCCTTCTTAGCGAACTCTGTATTTTTTTCAATCAATTCTAGAAATCTACCTGGTGTTGCAACAATAATTTGACCTGAGTTGTCATATTTCAAAAGTCTTTCTTGTTTATGAATAGACAAACCACCAGTTAAACTTAAAATTGAACTTTGACTAAATGGGAAAAACTTGGAAATCTTATTCAAATGATCAACAACTTGATGGGCTAATTCTCTTGTTGGAGTGAAGATGATACCAGTTGGAAATTTTGATTCTCTGTTTGCTACTAATTTCTCCAAAATTGGAATACCATATGCTAAAGTTTTACCAGAACCGGTTGAAGCTTTCCCTATAATATCCTTACCTTCATTACAAAGTGGGATACATCTTTTCTGGATAGGTGTTGGTTTTTCGAATCCTAAATGATTTAATCCTGATAATGTAAAGTTTGATAAATCTAAATTAGACCAGGCTGGTAGCTCAACATCAGTATCTGGTAATTCAATATCTTCAAAGTTTAAAGTGCTTGAAACTTTACTGAAACCTTCAAGTTCTGATTCTTTTTGCTCCTTCTTTTGCTCCTTCTTTTGCTCTTTCACTTTTTGCTTCTTTTCCTTCTTTGTTTCCTTTGGTTCTTCTTGAGTCTCTTCGGTGCTTTCCTCTTCCTTTTCGATAGGTTCAACTTTATCTTCGCTTTTAGTGACAAATTGCACTTTACCATCAACGTACTTAACACCAACACCTTCTATTTCTTCTAACCCATAGAATCCACCAAAATCATCTAAAGTTTCAGGAATATCAACGCTTTTCCATTTTAAGCTATCAGCTTCTAAAATACGATCTTCTTTAGCTTTGGGTATTTTGGTTTGGGATTTTGATGATGCATTCTTTTTGAAAGGTTTTGAAACTTTGTTCTTTCCAGAAAGTTGCTTCTTCTTCATGAGGATTTGTTTCCTTAGTTGATTGGAAACCATTTTAAACAGATCTTGCTAATGATTACTTGGTTTGATCTTGTTCGTCGCCTACTTTAATTTTTGTAGACACTTTTTGAAATTTTTTTTTCAATCAAGCTCATCGCTTAGTCAGCTCGAGGTTATAACTACGAGAACAATCTTTCATAATTCATCATAAGCATAAATCTATACAATATATAATTTATTTAAACGTGTACCTTTGAAGCCGCAAATTTGACACTTGTTGACAAAAAGAAGTTAGGAGCCGTTATAGCACCTTTTAATGGGATAGACTGACATCCTATATCCATTTTTGGTTTTTCAGTAGTTGGTCCGAAATCAACAAAACTTTTACCTTCTTTTAATGCAATCTCTATAACTTTTTGCATCATGACAAAATATATCTTGTAATCTTTACCGATTGAATAATCAATACCTTGTAAATCTGACGTTATAGTATCACCCAATCTGTATAAAACTGATGAGGCCAAGATATCATTACCAAGTTTCAAAAACAAAATTGATCTATCGCTATTTGAGTTGGCTTGACCCATAGACATGATGAACTTTTCATTTGGATCAATCAAAACAGAAGTGTTACCACCAGTTGTTCTCTTAGCAGCAATGTTCTTCCATAAGTCAATGACTTGATGTGAATGTTGTTCAGTAAACTCAAAAGTTTCAATAGTCTCACCTCCATTCTCAGAAAACTTAGTATCAGTATTTCTATATTTGATCTGCTTCAAATAAAATTTAAGTGACTTGTTTTTATAAGGTCTCAAATCAATGACATGAGATGCTGGTAATGCAACCTGATTCCAACCACTAGCCTCAATTGCCTTTGAACTTTGATCGTTATCATAAGTTGGATCTAAAATCATTGAACATTTCTCACCACTTTTTAGAGATGAGTTCCAATCAGTAATAGCCTCCATAACAGCAGCTGAACGAGCAACTGGTTTCTTGGTGGTACTGCAATAGAAAGTAGCTCTTCTAAAAGGCCAATGGAACCCCAATAACCCAAAACGTATAGTTAATAACTTCAAAAGGGAATCTTTACCAAAGAATCTCGACAAGACTCTTCCAAAGTAACCTGGTACGGCTTCAGTCATATCATAGTTTTCAATTAGAGTTAATAAAACTAAAGCTTCAGTTGAAATTAATTTTTCATAAAAGATCTTTGCTTTTGCATAGTCATCTTCTGTACAGATGTTTTCTGATGTGAAAAGAGCAGTCCCTTTAGTCTTATCCTTCTTTTTCTGTAACTTCTTCAACTGGTTCTTTGATAAAGGTTTAGCATCTCCAACCAAAGTTTCCACAGACCCTAAAACTTCAAAATCATCATCAAAGATCATATTTTGTCTATCTAATAGATCCCAAGCTTTATAATTCTCATAAGAAGGTAGTTTTGAATCAACATTTTCTTTGTAAACCCTTAAAACTTTGCAAGACATACCATCTAGAACTGATAAAGCATATGATTCCATTAAAGACAAGGCAGCTTCTCCGCTTATTCCTGAATTACTATTGTGATTATAAGTAATTAGTTTTGCAAACTCTGCCTTCTGAGCTTTAGTCAACATTGATAGATCAATCTCTTCCACTTTCAATTTATTCTTTTTGGATGGTGGTCTCATATAAATTGATGCAGAAACCAATATAGTGACACAAGTACCCATTATAATACCAAATAGCACTGGAGCAACTTTTCTATTGACAACATGTTTGTAGTAAGGTTTTGAAATGGTTGCCAATGAACAAACAAAAGATGCCATAGCAAAAAGGAATGCAATGACTCCATAAACTTTGAAAAATGTGAAAAATTTCTTGGTAACTTTTAATAATTTATGATGTTCATCAACATCCATAATTGAAACATAAACACCCAATATTGAAAGACATACAACAAAAGCACTTGTATGGAAAAATAATGCAGTTTCTTGTTGGAAAAACTTTTGAGATTTAAGACTACTCAAGTCTGACTCTTTTAAAGAAGTGATTGTAACTTGGACGACACCAATATTGAGCAGGAATTGGAATATTGAAACAACTAATAATACAAATCTTGATGCTTGGAAAGAAGCTTTAATGTACAACACGTTCACCAAGAGAATGAACACAATACAATCACAAAATAATGATGCCACAGCAAAAACAGCAAGAGCTGTAACATAATCTTCATTGTTATTTGCTAAGCTTCCAGTATAATATGGAGCGGTTAGTGAAGCCGCTGAGTAAACCACCTTCAAAACAACCATTATACCATGGAATGTAACCCATATTGCTTGAAAGATTCTCAAAACTTTTCGAAGTAATGCATACTTCTGCTTATTCAACTTTGCCTTTATGGATTCTCTATTGAATGCAATCATCAAGAACGCAATAGTATCCAGCACCAACCCTAAAAGTGAATAGATACTAACGTCACCACCATCATCTTTACTGAAAACAGCAAACAATATCACATGAGTCAAATTCATAGCTATTGCATATAGCACCATGGCATATTTAGATACTAGAAATTTTGGATGGAGATGATATTTGGTGATGATGATACCAGCTTTTCTAGATGCAAGAGCGCCTACCTTTTCTGATAAATCTGACATATTAGCATAGGTGTATTTGACAGTATTCCCATTGACTGGATTAATGAAGGGCTAAATAAATAGTTGAACTTTGAAGAGGCAAATTAAGCTTATTAATAGTTTGAATATATATATATTGGCTCTAATTAATATTGAGCTTCGTGCTCTGGGGCCTTCAAATGTATTTATAATTCACTCTCTATGTAGTCTGATTTCTTTTTTTGCAGGTGTAACCACGACGAATTGGTATACTGGATCCTATCACACCGCCCAAATCAGTTTGAACAAGCTCAAATGGTAACATAACGGCCTGAGTTATTTTTTACTAAGAAAAGTGTCAAGTTCAAATTTTTGATGGCGATCGCAAATTAGCCAAAGTCATCACGACCGAAGTGCCGCAAAGCATTGATTGAATCCGATATAAACGTAAACAAAAGCAAAAGTAGAACTCCTAACTGACAACAACACAAGATAATAACTGGCTCTTAAAGTGCACCAGGATTCAAAAACGATGATAATTGGAAGTAACTAAAATACACGGGCCCCCGTAGCTGGGCGCAGTTAGCAGTTAACCTCTAACGGAGTGTATGATGTCTAAGCCCGCGTATTTTTGTTTAATATTTTGGGGCTTTCAAAACACATTTTCTGGTTCTCATTTGATTTTATGTATAGCAAATGTAAGTGAATGGCCGCAGTAATTTGTAACTTGTGAGTAGTTACATTTCCAAACGTTTACGCCGTCTCTCTGGCTCGTTGCCTTTCACTGGCCGCTTCTTGAGCTGACAAAGGGCTGAGTGTAAAAGAATTTTGGGTGCTAATTCACCCTTCTCTGTTTGGCAGTCATCTGCATTTTTGATGAAAATTTCTATTTTATTGTCACATTCATGCGATCCAGACTTCAAATAAAACAGCTCCGGTGGTGTTTATTTTAAGTATCCATTTGCATCACAGCTATCGATAATGGGGAAACGGACAGGATTCTTGAAGAAGTCCAAGTCCATCACAGGGAAAAGTTTTACAAAGCCTTCAATTAAACCATCAAATACGAGGAAAATAATACGAAGATATCATCTGCTACTCAATAAAAAAGATATCATTTATCAAAAGCTATCACACATACACCAAAAGGATATAAATGATTCAAATATAGGAGATTTCATTAAAACTAGACCGAAAGCAACCACATCTGGTGCTATAAATATACCCACAGAGCAAGAGTTACTATCAGCAAGCAATGAAACATCTTTACCTAAGCTATACTTATTATTAGAAAAGATAAATTATGAAATAATAGAGAAAGGTGGTTTATCAAAATATCAGATCGCATCTATTTATGGGCAAGAATCTAAAAGGGGAAGTGATTCATCAAAATGGTTATTTGAAACAATTCCAGAATTGAAAGAGATGAAAGATACTTTGAAAGTTTTAGAAATTGGTTCACTTTCAACTCAAAATGTTGTGTCTAAATATGCAAACTCAATCACAAGAATAGATTTGAACTCAAATGAACCAAGTATATTGAAACAAGATTTCATGGAAAGACCATTACCAAAAAATAATAATGAAAAATTCAATCTGATTTCCTGTTCATTAGTTTTAAACTTTGTTCCAACTGCAAAAGGTAGAGGTGAAATGATGCAAAGATTTGAAAAATTCCTAGATAAAGAAGCTGATTCACCCTTAGTGTTTATTGTTTTACCCCTAAGCTGTATAAAAAACTCAAGGTATTGTGACAAAGCACATTTTGAGAAAATATCAAACTCATTAGGTTACGAACTGATCAAGTATAGTGAAGCCAAAAAATTAGTTTATATGGTTCTGAAATGGACTGGAAAACTTGAACCGAAATCATTTCCAAAGAAAAAACTGCATGATGGTCCTGCAATGAATAACTTTAGCATAATTATAGAGAAATAGCATTAATAACGTACACAATTGTACTATTCTTTATACTAACGTAGTAGTGCCCCGTTCGATCTTTGTTGATGTTGCGCGGTACCGATATTTTCTATTTGATTTTTTGGAAAACAGTGTAGAGATTTTGGATGGCCAATGTTCAATCAACAAAAACAACACATCAATACTCAATTGAATAACGAAAATTCAAAGCAATATACAAAATGGTATGTGTGCTTTGTGGGATTTTACTGCCCAATTGACACTTTTCATTGATATACTAACATGTTGTTTTAAGGGTCAAGGTGCTTCAGGATTACCTGGTGGCGATAGAAAGAAGAAAGATAAATCAAAAAAACCAAAATATGAACCACCTGTAAAGACTAAGATAGGAAGAAAGAAGCGGAAAGGAGGTCCATCAACTGCTGAGAAATTACCAGATGTCTTTCCAAGAAATCGTTCTAAATTAAAATTGTTAAAGACTCAACGTATTCATGATCATTTATTAATTGAACAAGAGTATGTTGCCAGTATTGAGAACCTAAAACCTTTTGAAAAGAAACAAAATGAAGAAAGAGATAAAGTTGAAGAAATTAGAGGGTCACCAATGACAGTTGGTACTTTAGAAGAGATTATTGATGATGATCATGCAATTGTTAGTTCAAGTTCAGGTCCTGAATATTATGTTTCAATTTTATCATTCGTTGATAAAGAATTATTAGAACCTGGTTGTTCAGTCCTATTACATAACAAAACTGTTTCAGTTGTTGGTGTGCTAGAAGATGATGCAGATCCATTAGTCAGTGTCATGAAAGTTGCAGTGGCACCAAATGAAACATATGCAGATATTGGTGGGTTAGAAAATCAAATAAAAGAAGTTAAAGAAGCTGTGGAATTACCTTTAACTCATCCAGAATTATACAGTGAAATGGGTATTCAACCTCCAAAAGGTGTTATATTATATGGTGCTCCAGGTACTGGTAAAACATTATTGGCCAAAGCTGTTGCTAATTCAACTTCTGCAACTTTTATAAGAATGGTTGGTTCTGAATTAATCCAAAAATATGCAGGTGAAGGTCCTAAATTAGTGAGATCTTTATTCAAGTTAGCTGCTGATAACGCTCCAGCAATTGTTTTCATTGATGAAATTGATGCTGTGGGTACCAAGAGATATGATTCACAATCTTCTGGTGAAAAGGAAATTCAAAGAACCATGTTGGAATTATTGAATCAACTAGATGGTTTCGATGATAGAGGTGATATTAAAGTTATTATGGCTACTAATGCTATTGAATCTTTAGATCCTGCTTTAATTAGACCAGGTCGTATAGATAGAAAAATACATTTCCCACCTCCAGATTCTGAAAATTTGAAAAAGATTTTTGAAATCCATACAAGAAAGATGACATTATCTGATGATATAGATATTGATGGTATTATAAGTGCTAAAGATGAATTATCTGGTGCTGAAGTTAAAGCAATCACAACAGAAGCAGGTTTAATTGCCTTGAGAGAAAGAAGAATGCAAGTTACAAATAGTGATTTCGTCAAGGCTAAAGAAAGTGTTATGAAGACTAAAGTGGATGAATCGTTGGAAGGATTGTATCTATAGTGTGTTTTCTCTTATAAAAATCATCTACATCTGTTTTAATGACTTTAAATTGTAGTACTTTATAATATAAATTATCGGTACATACACGCTTTTGCGGGTAAATTCTCCAAAAAAAATTCGCGAATTCGCTCACCGGCCACATCAGAATTTGGTACCTTACAACTTTACTTTAAGAACGTCAATATTTACTCCCATTTAAAACCAATTGGAATTTTCCTATTTGCAAGATCTGAGAAACATTCCACTTCTCAAAATTGATAACATTCAAATAATTGAAAACTAAAGTCTATTTCAAACCTTGGAGCTCAAATTTCAGTTCATTCATTTATTTTTAAAGCCGTATCCTATCATTGCTCTAACTGAAACCAATAATAGATATCAAACTTCTATTTAATTAATCAACAATCAATTACCAATTCCAAAACGTCGTTGTCATCAATAAAGAAGCTTAATTCCAAGTTAGGTCATATAATGAGTCATAGCACCAGTAACAAAGATTATAAATTATCCTACTCTGTAGGAGTTGCTGAAGATGTTAACAAAATTTATAGACCTACAATGGAAGATGTTCACACATATGTTGAAAATTTTGTTGAAAGATTAGACTGGGGATACTTTGCAATATTTGATGGACATGCAGGTAAACAAGCTGCTAAATGGTGTGGACAAAATTTGCATTCAATTGTGGAGAAGAAATTAATTGAAGATGAAAATGAGGATGTTCGAGATATATTGAATGAAAGTTTCTTAGAAGCTGATGAAAATATTGTTAAAACAGTGGAAGGTTCAAGTGGTTGTACAGCAGCTGTGGCTATATTGAGATGGGAACTACCCGAAAATAAAACTGCTAGTGAATTGACAGATTTAAGTCAGCATAAAAGAATGTTATATACAGCAAACGTTGGTGATACAAGAATCGTGTTATTTAGAAATAATAAAGCTATACGATTGACATATGACCATAAAGCTTCAGATAAACATGAGATCAATAGGATTGAGAAAAGTGGTGGATTAATAATGAAATCTAGAGTAAATGGGATGTTGGCAGTGACGAGATCTTTGGGTGATCAATTCTTCAAAGATTTAGTTATTGGAAGTCCATATACAACAAGTGTTGAACTAAATAAAGATACAGATAAGTTTTTGATCATTGCATGTGATGGGTTATGGGATGTGATTTCAGATCAACAAGCTTGTGAATTGATTAGAGATATAGAAGATTCTACACTAGCTGCTAAAAAATTAGTGGAACATGCATTAAATAAATTGACAACTGATAACATTACAGTTATGGTTATTTCGTTAAGATGAAAGGTATCTATGATAATTATGAGACTCTTTTTTATTTTTGGATTGCTTAGGTTTTTTTTGTTGATTGTTGTTTTTAAATGCTCTTTTTGGCCTTTTGTATAGCATAGTTTTAATTAAATTCTATTAATCATTGACATTTTTTTCCTTTCTAGATATTCAGCATAGAATCTATCTCATTGAAGATGTTGTTATCAAACTCCAGATTGCTATTATCATTCATGTTATTTTGAGCATTATTTTGATTGTCATTATTACTGTTATTTTGGAAGTCTAATGTCTCAGTGTTGTTTGGGTCATCATATGGATTAGCATCCATCAACAAGTCCTGAATATTGTCATTGAAATCACCATTAAGGTTAACATCAGCAGAGTCTGGCACAGTAGATAAGAAGTTACTTATATCATCCAATAAGTTCTCATGGTTTCCAAAGTTTTCAGTATTGTCATTAGAAGTATTCTGAGCAGTCCGTGATTCTATCTCTGGTTGCTTAGTTTCATTAGCTGGAGTGGGTTCTTGTTTGGCGGGTATGGTATTCTTTTGCTGTTCTCTCTCTATAGCTCTTTGCTTCAACTTTTTATCGAATAATGAGATGTCGTTCAACTGGATCAATATGTCATCTAAGTTCTTGTCGAATGTCTTTATGGCCTTGTTCAAGTTCTCAGCAGCTTTGTTGTTGTTGTTGGGCAGCACCAGATTAGCTGTTTTATCAGTGTATAGATCATCAAATAAATCACCGATATTGTATAGGATTTCCTGTAAATTTGGTTAGTATTAGCTGAGCCTATAGAATAACAGTAAGGATACCCACGTTAAAGGACAACGACAAGTTATCGATCTGGGTGGACATGGTGTTCTGACTGCTTAAGCACTGGCACAATAGAAATCAATCTCAATTCTTCTCTGTTTTTCACAATCACAATTTCGTGCACAAGTGTCGCGACACGGCAGGTGCCCGACACCCAATGAAAAGTTGTTTTTCGCCAACCCCTTACAAAAAAATGAAAATTGAGATTCAACGAACAGAAAGCTTTAGAACAACATCACCAACAACTAGATCCACAACTCACAAAATGTTCAGATCAAACGCCTTCAAATCCGTTGCTCGTCAAACCCAATTGATCGCCAGAAGAACTTACGCTGATGCTGCTTCTGCCACCGATGTTTTAAAATTATCATTGGCTTTACCTCACGAAACTTTATTCTCTTCCTCTGAAGTTACTCAAGTTAATGTCCCAGGTGTCAATGGTGATTTTGGTATCTTAGCTAACCACGTTCCAATCATTGAACAATTGAGACCAGGTGTTGTTGAAATTATTGAATCTTCAGGTACTACCAAACAATTTTTCGTTTCAGGTGGTTTCGCTACTGTTCAACCAGGTTCAACTTTATCAATCACTGCCATTGAAGCTTTCGAACCATCTGCTTTCTCTGCTGAAACTATCAAATCACAATTAGCTGAAGCTCAAAAGAACGTTACAAGTAGTGATGAAGCCGTTGCTGCTGTTGCCGGTATTCAAATTGAAGTTTTAGAAGCTTTACAATCAGTTGCCAAATAAGATAACTATTAGAAAACAATCAATTTGACAATAAAGAAAAAAAATAACAAAGAAAAAAATAATATAAACTTATTCATTATAAACAAAAGATAGAATGGTGAGAAATTTTTGAAAAGTTTCAAGTTTTTGTGGAGTTACGAAAAGCAAAAAAAAAACGTTTAATATGAATTTGAAACCAAACTAAGAAGAAGGAGAAAAAGATATAAAGTTTACTTATGAAATATTCACTAATGATTTTTGAACTTTTTGAATGTAGTTTATTCATCGATGATGATATGTTCTTCAGGATCTTTAAATTATCTCGAATCTAAAGTGTAGGCTAGATCATATATAGCGTGGCCTACAATTACTAAGAATTTTGGACCTTGGACTTGATTTATGAGTACATTCAAGAGCACTAATAATATATTGGCTTCATAAATCATGTTCTTTTCTTGATCTTTATGTAAAGCTGTCTGTAATATATCCGAGCTGGGTGTGAAATTTTTTTTGGCCTGGCGAAAGCTCGGTTTATATCCACCCAACATCATTCAGAAAACAACAACAAAAGCTAATCTTTTCGGACAAATAACTGAAATGAAACATGTATCTACCACTAGTTATATCATATATTCAAAAAAATCAGCTCTAGGGGCTAAATTAGAGCAAAAAATTGGCAAAAAAAGAAATGTGCCATCGCCTGGAATCGAACCTGGGTCTGATCGGCCACAACGATCTGTACTAACCACTATACTACGATGGCTTCTTTGTGTCCGGTTGAAGGCGTTTTCTCTCCGAGTGATAATTATGGCAAAAACATCCAAACACCGCCAACAAGATATTTTGTCTAATTTTGGTACAATTAGTCTTGAAAGAAGTGATCAAAGGGTAGTTTATATGCTTAAATGATCTCTGATAGCCGTCTTAATTGTTATTCTTTGGACTTATGTGTCTCAAAAGTTCAGGAATCCATATTTTGTATGAAAATACTTCACACATCACAAATTTTGTTCAGTGAAATGAGGTTCTTCGAACTCAGTTGTCTGTAGAACTTTCATTTAACCTTCACTATCAGTTACCTGGCTGAGCTGAATTTCTTTGTTCCTTAGAAACGAGTGCATAAACTCGCCAACGTGGATTTAAGCTTACGAAGATCTGTCAACCGTAAGATGTGTCAAACCTTTCAACGTTAAAGAGTGACAGTGATTTGAATAAACCTCTTGTGTCACCAAGTGTTCTCATATGGTTCATAGCATCATCCATGATTGATAAATCTATCAACACAATGTTGAATCAAATGAACTTGTGTACCATTAATCATTTCCATCATCTTGCACTCATCAAGATACCTAATCGAGTTTGAAACCGTTGTAGGAGAAGTCACTTATTTCTATCAATTTGAAATGTAGGAAAGGCTTGAAGTTGTCTGTTTGAGGGGCATTGAAGTTTGTAAATGGACCATTAACCAGCTACCGGCAACTAGATCTCACTATCAAATAAGATCAAGATTAAAAACTATCACCAAATCCAAATTCACAGCCAAAACTTTTCAAGGATTGTGCTCCCAACTGCCAAATACGGTAATTCCGGTAAGCGCACTTCAAGCGCCCAAACAAATTCGCGGGCTTATTGGCGGGTGGAGCGAGATTCCGTTTTGAGAGGACAACGATAAGCATTATCTTTCTATTTTCAGATAAATGAACCTTGAGCCATCAACGTATGATCGATGAGCTATGAAAAACTATATAAATGATGAAATATCTTTGATTCTTTCAACCTTTTCCAAAATAACTCTCTCAACATCAAATCAATCAATACTTTGAATTTAGTAAAGCTGGTCTTGAACTTTCAAATAAACTTGTTGATTTTTTAATATTCATTCACTAAATAATGGAACGTTTACAACAAATTGCTTCTCAAACCACTGCTTCTGCTGCTCCACCACCAGCTCCAGCTCATCCTTTAGATCCATTATCCATTGCTGAAATCAAAGCTGTTGTCTCTGTTGTTAAAGCTAAATATGGTTCTGGCGCTGAAATTTCTTTCAATACTGTTACTTTGAAAGAACCATCCAAAAAATCATTTTTAGAATGGAAAGACAAAAATGGTCCAGCTCCACCAAGATTCGCCTTTGTTGTTTTACTAGAAGCTGGTAAACCAGGTGTTCAAGAAATTGTTGTTGATATCACCAACTTGTATGTTACCAACTTGAAACATGTTCATGGTGTTCAACCAATCTTAACTGTTGAAGATTTACAATCAACTGAAGATGTTATTAGAAAAGATGCTGGTGTTATTGAACAATGTATTCTTTCAGGTATTCCAGCTACTGATATGCACAAAGTTTACTGTGATCCATGGACTATTGGTTATGATGAAAGATGGGGTAACAGCAGAAGATTACAACAAGCTATGATGTACTATAGATCAGATGAAGATGATTCTCAATATTCTCATCCATTAGATTTTGTTCCAATTGTTGACACTGAAACTAAAGAAGTTATCTACATTGATATTCCAAATGTTAGAAGACCAGTTTCAAAACATCCACATTCAAACTTTTACCCAAGTGATGCAGTTAAAGAACATGGTTACAGAACTGAACAAAAACCAATCAACGTTACACAACCAGAAGGTGTTTCTTTCAAAATGGATGGTCATGTTATGGAATGGTCAAACTTCAAATTCCACATTGGTTTCAACTATAGAGAAGGTATTGTCTTATCTGATATCAACTACAATGATCATGGTAATGTTCGTCCAATCTTCCACAGAATGTCATTGGCTGAAATGATTGTTCCATATGGTTCTCCAGATTTTAGACATTTCAGAAAACATGCTTTAGATATTGGTGAATATGGTGCTGGTTACATGACTAACCCATTGGCTCTTGGTTGCGATTGTAAAGGTGTTATCCACTATTTAGATGCTCACTTTGCTGACAGAGCTGGTGATCCAATCACTATTAAAAATGCTGTCTGTATTCATGAAGAAGATGATGGTATCTTGTACAAACATTCAGATTTCAGAGATGACTTTGCTACCACCATTGTTACCAGAGCTACTAGATTGGTTATTTCTCAAATTTTCACTGCTGCTAACTATGAATACTGTATTTACTGGAACTTTTTACAAGATGGTTCAATCAGATTGGATGTTAAATTAACTGGTATCTTGAACACTTATGTTGCTAATGAAGGTGAAAAAGTTGGTCCATGGGGTACTCAAGTCTATCCACAAGTTAATGCTCATAATCACCAACATATGTTCTCATTAAGAATTGATCCAAGAATTGATGGTGATAACAACTCTGTTGGTTCATCTGATGTTATGTCATCTCCACATGAATTAGGTTCATTAGAAAACCCATACGGTAACGGTTGGTTAGGTAAAAGAACTGTTTACAAAACCGTTAGTGATTCATTAACTCATGCTAATGCTGAAACTTCAAGATCATGGGATATTTTCAATCCAAATGTTTTAAACAAATACTCTGGTTTACCAGTTTCTTACAAGATTGTTTCCAACCAGACACCAAGATTATTAGCTAAAGAAAACTCCATTCCATCAAAGAGAGCACCATGGGCTCGTCATGCTATGAATGTTGTTAAATATGAAGAAGATAGATTATACCCATCAGGTGTTCATGTTCCACAATGGTCTGGTGATGGTCCAGTTGGTATCAGAGGTTGGATTGGAGACGGTAGTGATAACATTGAAAACACTGATGTTATTGTTTTCCATACTTTTGGTATTTCACATGTTCCAGCTCCAGAAGATTTCCCATTAATGCCTGCTGAACCAATCACTTTATTAATGAGACCAAGAAATTTCTTCACTGCTAACCCAGCATTAGATTTGATTCCAAGTTATGCTAAAACTACTTCTGAAGCTAGAAAATCTGGTGGTACTGAAGTTAAATCACAACTTGATACAGCTTCAAGATTAGCATTTTCAAACACTTCAGCATCTTTTGAGGGTGGTTCTTGTTGCTCCAAAAAATGATTAATTAAACGGTTTTTGTAACATATATATAGTGTGAATACTTTGGGTGATGTAATTTAATAATATGATATAATTTAATTAGAAATATTTGAATTGTAGCGAATTGAAGTGAATAGTAGTGAAGACTTTATAAGTGAATGGTAATACAACTATAAAGTTACTGGACACTAGATAGACACTCATTTGGTTAGCTAGTTCTCTACAATGTGGTTTAACTCAATTTATTGATCTATCCAAGATGTTATCCAATTGTAGTAAAAAGGGATGATCTAGTGAGTTTCAAGTTGGTTATCACCTAATTATTGAGGTGGTTGGCTTTGTCTCTATTAGGAAAGTTTACCCATGTAGTTTTGGCAGAAACGCGATTTCAAGGATGTTTTTTAAAAAAACAGGATGATACAAAATCAAACACCTCTAACTCCATTACAAACAACAAACAGAACACATAAGGTGTATTAATATTTGCTATTCTATTCTTCTGTTTTTGCTAGATTGCTATTAAAAATATTGCCCCATCCCTTTTGCTGTTTTTGTTTTTGGTAAAGTGAATAATGTTTTATTCTGAAAACCTTTTATCAAAAGAGGGTCCTTTAGCTCAAGTTTGGTTAGCAGCCAACTTGGAAAGAAAACTATCCAAAAATCAGTTCCTACAGTCCAATATTGTTCAATCCACTAAAGCTATTGCAAACGCGTCTTCTCAAAATGATGAATCAGAAGCCCTTGCCTTGAGACTTTCAGGTCAGTTATTATATGGTGTTGTTAGAATTTATTCAAGAAAAGCTAAATATTTATTGGATGATGTCTCAGATGCTTTGCTAAAACTAAAGTCTGCTTTCAAGTCAAGTGCAAACACTGTTACTTTACCGGTCAACGCCACTATTGTTCCTTCTGTGAATCAATTAATTTTACAAGATACTATTACTCAATCAGATTTGTTGTATCAAGAACCGTTGACATTTGACGATAATGAGAATCCAAGACATTCAGATTTCTTTGGTCAGTCACAGGCTGCTGCTACAAACCAAGATTTTGATGATTCAATTGAAATCCCAAGAAACAAATTTGATGAATTGGATGAATTAGAAGGTGGTCAAGATGATTTAGATATTGATTTAAATTTCGATCTTGATGAAGAAAGAGTTGAAGCAAAGCAAGAGGATAACAACATGGACGATATTGATTTTGATTTTGGTAATGGTCACGATGAATCTATCGAAATTGGAAGAGCTGGAGAAGATGCCAACTTGTCACAAATGGATCATGAACCAAACAATGACATTGACTTGGGATTTGATTTTGATGAAGAATTGGCACAACCTTTGGAAGTTGTTCCAGGATCACCAGAAATGGCTGATGGTCAAGATGAACCAAGAACTCCAACCAAAAGACCAAGAAGAGCTAAAGTATCTGTTGCTGGTCAACGTAAGATCGTTGAAGATCAAGAGATTGAAATTCCAATTAGAAACTTTAATAGTACAAATGGAATTGTTGCATTGAATGAAGAGGCTACAGCTGAATTGGATTTGAAGTCTAAGAGAAGCTTTATTGACTCTTTGTTGAAGGAAAATTATATTCAGGGAGATATTGCTGAAAATTTACTAAGAACAAAACGCCAAAAAATTTCATCACCTGGCCCTGATGATGAAGTACCAGAACTTGAACACTCAGAGGAAGAAGCTAATAAAACTAATGACAACGAAAATAACAATAATAATGAAATGGACTTTGACTTTGATTTTGGTCAAGATATAGATTTGGGTTTCGATTATGATGAAGAAAGAGTACAAGCTCCAGATGCTGAAGCGTCACAACAGGAACAAGCAGAACTCGAAGAAGAAGAGGAAAATGTTGATGATTTTAGTTCAGGATCTAAAGATGGTATCTCAGAATCAACCATCAAAGTTTCCGGTGAATTAAGAGAATTATTTGAAGCTGAAGACACAGTGACGTTTTCTGAACTTGTCAAGAAGGATTTGGAAGAAGAAGAACCGTTATCAAAATTACCAAAGAATGAAGCTACTAGAGTGTTCTTCGAACTTTTGGTTTTGGGTACTTCTGATTCAGTTGAATTGAAACAAAAGGAACTATTTGGTGAAATTGAAGTTAGATCAAGACAAAATCTTTTCCAAAAGTTCTTGTGATTAAAAGGGGTATGATAGGTTGGTTTTCGTTCATTTCGGTCCTTTGTATTTTATTGAGGGTTTCATTGTTTTTTTAATGTATTGTAATAAATTTATGTATCGGTATATGTTTGTAGCCAGTCTCAATACAATATCTAAATCGATAACTAATATGGAGGGTCATAATAATCAATATCAAATTCATATAAAAAAAAGGTCATAATGTCACAATAATATCAAACACTTTACCTCATCAAGGTGTCACATTGACGCTTTTATCGGCTGAAGAAGTATTACTTGCTGCTTCATTTTGATCCGCATCTTCAATATGTGAGATTCCAGGTTTCTGATCTTTCGTTGTGTGTCTAAGGAGACCATAATCAATATCACCAATACTTTCTCCAAATACCTCAGCGACTTCTTCCAAACTTCTGCCAGCAGTTTCCACTAGGGTTAAATATCCCACAACAAGTTCAACAGCTATAATACAACAAAATACGATATAATATTTCCACTCGATAGCATCCATTGCAATTGGATTGACAAACCCATTATAAATCAAAACAACCATCTGACAAAACTGGCAGATATTCATTGCTTTGGTTCTCAGTGTGAAAGGAGCATATCTGGTAATGTTAGTATTATTTTTTTTAGGAATTCATAAACAAAACTTACTCAGTTAAATATAGTATTGGGAGACCATTCAGCCCGAGGTTATAGGCAAGATAGTACATAAATATCATAGCCATAACACCTTTCCCCAAAGATTTATCTTCAAAATTCCTCTTTTGATTGATAGCTGACAAGATAGTCCATATGATATAGAATATTAACATTAACGAAAGTGACGTTAAAAACACCATTCTCCGCTTACCTTTTTGGAACATTGATAAATTGATAATGATTGAGATCCCATAGTTATAAATCATCAAACCACCATTGAACACTAATTGTTGACTAGTTGATGTGATTCCAATTGAGTTCAGTACCTTGTTCATATAATATGAAACCAAACCATTACCTGATAACTGCGCAATTATACCAATATAACAAGATAAAAATAGACGCTTTCTGTTGCCAGGGGTCCTTAGAAAGTCTAAATATGAAGTTTTGTTTGCAATTTTCTCTTGTTCAATAGCAGATTGAATTTCAGACATTTCAAAATCAACGAGAGGCCCACCAATTTTCTCATCATTATTAGCATGGTACTTGAGCAAGATTCTTCTAGCTTCTTCAATTTTACCTTTATTAACAAGAAATCTTGGTGAGTCTGGAACAAAGTAGATGAGAAAAATTTGAAGTAAAGGAAATAACCCTTGTATAATTGTAGGAATTCTCCATGACCAATTTGACTTAATGTTACGAGTACCAAAGGAGACCCATCCTGAAATAATTGCTCCTAAATACCAGTTCGAGTTGTAGAAAGCAGTGACAGCCTGTCTATGTGAAGGATATGAGAGCTCAGCAACCAAAGGAGGAGCAGAAACCCCAACCAAACTACTTCCAAAGCCAATAATCAATCTTCCAACTAAAGTCATAGCGTAAGTGCGCTTGTCAGTGTTCATGTCTTGGGTATCGATATGAAGCCAGGTACCCGAGCAAGACTGCACAATAACACCCATCAACATGATGATATTTCCAAGTGTTATCGAGTGTCTTCTACCTAATTGATCACCAACAGTAGAAGCAATGGGAACACACAACAACGATCCAAGGGTAGTTCCATTACTCATGGCCCCTAAAACGGGTCCAGAAGGGTTGCTCATTGCACTCATCCATGCAGGCATGGCTTGGAAAGCATTAAGCAAAGAACCATCATACCCTGAATTTGTAGCAGCAAGACTAATCACAAGCATTAAAAAATTCAAATAAACAAGGTGAGGTACCCTGATCCAGAACTTTCCATAGTCTGGGAGAAACTGCTTTAAGGGTGATTCAACCTCTTTGGAGACTTTTGTTTCATTCTTCGACCCCTTTGGGGTTGCCTTTCTATTCACTAATATTTTGACCTCATCAGCAATAATTCCAACCATATTAACAAGATTGAAACTTGAAGTCAAAAACAATTGAAAGATACTAATCAAGAGACATACGAAGTAATTTATATCCTTGATAAAGCACAAATATCAACCGATTCTATCATCATCAACCCGCTTTGAGTCACACCCCAAGGGTCACAAAGGACATATACTGAATTTCAATTGTTTGTTGTTGAGGAGCTTCTTTAGAATAGAGGAATAGGAATCCCTGCTCAAACTGTTGAGTCTTGAGTCTTGACCAAACTTATACTACCCCAGATTTCAACCAATGGACAATGCCATCGTTAATGACCTTTGAGAAGCCGATAAATAAACTAAAATAATTCATGCCCATTCAAGAATCAAATACCAACGTGGTGCCCATTTCTTAAAGCATATAAAGTTGGGTACACTCTCTTCAAGGATATATAGGACAGGTTACAACACTGTATAGAGTCGTTTCTTATCTGTTTCAAGACACACTTTCAGAAATGGAAGCCAGTTTTGACCGAGCCGGCATCAAAAAGGACCGTTGTTTTGATGGTCCTAAATTCTAATCCTACACTTTTTCAGCTTTTTTGAAAAATCTGTCATTTAAAATCGGGTGTCTAACTGAACCAAAATGCCATGTATAATTTGTGCGTCTCCATGAATATCAGTGATTATTTTTATATAATATAAACGTTACACTGTCAGCCCAATTATTTTGTTGAACTACTTGTTCTTTTGTAGTTATGTATATGAAATCATGAACATAATTAAATCCTAATTCAATAATTTCTTGATCATCTTACAGCTAGCGCCTGTACGTACCGGAGTACCAGGTATAATATTATAGCTAGTACTAGTACTCATATTATAAATGGCGCTAGCTGGCCACGCGCTCTACGATCGTACGTGGTGATCTTATATCTTAAAAATTTATAATATCATGAGCTGCTGCCGGCGCTATTAATATAATTATATTCATCAAGTACGTCTATATTAGATCACGACGTACTTAATTAGCTGTCGGTTCAAATTATATAAATATTAACGTCTAGCTCATGCGCCAGGTAATTATATATATTTAGCTGTGGCTTAATCGAGTCTCGACGTCTTAATTAATATTATTTTTTTTTTTTTAATTATGTATCTGATGTGTAATATTTATAAAATATATTTGCTAAAAATAATATAATCATGTACATTAAAATTATCTGTACCTGGGGACTCAGTCGACTATGACTGATAATTTATAATAAAAGGGATAAATCAGAATAAAAACAAGTAAGAATGAACTAAAAATTAAGCTGGCCATTGTTATAAATATTGGAACAATTGTAAAACTTTGATGAATAATATTTATATATGCAATATTATTAATATCGCGCGAACCGCTTGAATTGTAGGCTTCTCCCTATAATAATATTAATGTTGGAATTCATGAGGCTTCCTTATATTAATATTATCGACCTAATTCTCATGAGCTACCACGCCGGCGGAACGTCAGTACGTCGTACGTCGTCGTACTCATGTGGGTCGACTCGCCAGCTCTAGTGTTATTTAATATAATAATAGCTGGAATACTACTGTGGGATTTGCCTTTACTTAGGAATACCCACGTCTAAAACTCTCTAGCTTTCGGATTCACATGACGTTAAAATAATCAAAGATAATATTGAATAAAAGTGCTTGATTACGTAATCGATACACTCCTCAAAGAACACCAAAAATTTAGCCTTCAGAACTCGTCCTTGTTAGCTCAGTTGGTAGAGCGTTCGGCTTTTACAGTCAAACTAGGGATCCATTTCTTAGCGGAAGTTAACCGAAATGTCGGGGGTTCGAGCCCCCCATGAGGAGTTCTATTTTTTTTCCAAAATTTGCTTCATTTTTAAGAATTGGAGGCCAATTTCGTTAATGAATACATCAACAAAGATCATTGCTGCTTGCATCAATAATAGGATTGTTGAAGTTATACCACATATAGTTGGGGATACACAATTTGGTTTTGTGAAACAGAGAAATATAGACCAAGGCATCAACTTGGTTCAAAAGGTCAGATATGAGTTGAATCAAAAACATAATGTTCGAGAAGGAGATGATCAACATATTGCTGCTTTAAGTATTGATTTTGAAAAAGCCTTTGATAGAAGCAATTTCAAATATTTTGAAACAGTTTTGAGAAAATTGAAATTCCCGGAATCTACCATCAATCAAATTTTAGCACTAACTTCGTTACAACATGGTCAAGTGATTATCAACAACAACATAAGTGATGGG